CCCTAAGCCCTAAACCCTTAACCCTGAACCCTTAGCCCTAAACCCTTAACCCTGAACCCTTAGCCCTAAACCCTAAGCCCTAGACCCTGAACCCTTAGCCCTAAACCCTACAAACCCAAAAAGCCCTAGAAACCCTCTGAACCCAAAAGGTTCTTCGGGTCCCCGGAAAGCCGTGGAGAACACGCGGAGACTTCGCCTGGCCCTGGAGAGCCTCGGCCCGGCCTTCGTGAAGCTGGGCCAGGCTGCGGCGTCGAGGGAGGACGTCCGGCTTGGGGCCTTTTGGGGCTTTTGGGTCTTAGAGTTTTGGGCTTTGGGGTTTAGGGTTTAGGGTTTGGGAAGTTGAGGACTTTTGGGGTTTAGGGCTTTTGGGGTTTAGGGTTTAGGGTTTGGGAAGTTTGGGGCTGTTGGGGTTTGGGGCTTTTGGCGCTTTTGGGGTTTTCTGTTTTTGGGGGTTGAGGGGTTTAGGGCTTTCGGAGTTTAGGGTTTAGGGTTTAGGTGTGATTATATGGATGTGTTTGGGAAGTTGTTCCTGAGGTTTGGGATGGAATCGGGTTTCTGAGAAAAGGTCGCAAGAATGTTCTCAACAGAGCTCGCTTTTCCGGCTTGAAGCAGATGGCGATAGTACTGTAGGACCATCCTTACTGGATGTTGGAAGCCTGACTTTTCTCCGTTTAATATAGGGGCCTTAATCAATGGAATAGAGTTTGGGGATATATTATACAGTAATCTTAATAAGAAACCCCCCAAAACCCTATTCTAATTAATAAGGCCCCTACATTAGGGGCTTGACTTGTGGTTTTGACATCATGGCTTCAACCCGTCCTATACTTGGAAATCAGAACGGCCTTCGATGACGGGCGCAGACTAGCGCTCGGAGGGCTCACTGAAGAACTAAGTCGGCAGAGCCCTGAAGGACGTGCTCAGTGACCGGGTGGCAGCAGAGCTCCGCAAGCTCTGTGACCAGGTGGCGCCCTTTCCAGACGAAGAGGCGCAGCGTCTGGTGGTCACCCAGCTGGGCTCCGGCTTAACCCTGGGGCGCTGCGTGGCAGCCGCAAGTCTCGGCCAGGCTCGGCATCTACAAAGTACTGGGGAGTTCATGGGTAGTTATAAATGGGGTTATAAGTAGGGTAACTATGCTTATAACCCATATTAGGGGACTTATAACCCCACTTATAACTAGCCACGAACCTCCAAGTAGCCTCCACAAGACAAGTCGTATCCCGGTACTCAGAGACGCCCAGGTCTACTGCATCGAGAGAAATGGTCGCCAGTATGCACTGAAGGTGCAGCGGCCGGGTCTGAATCGTGCTCTGGCCATGGATGTCGTAATTCTGCCCCTTGGTGGCAATATTATATAGATCTTCAAGTCAGGAGCCGAATCTGTTATAAGACCACGCGTTTGGATACCGCACCACGGTGGTAGACACAGCATCATGTCGTATCCAAGAAGCATTGTCGTGCGCCGAAGGCCCGTCAGAGGACGTGTGTGGTGTGCATGTTGCGTGTGTGTGTGTTGTGGGTGTGTGTGGCGCGCGTGCTTGTTTGTTTGATGTCTTTGTGGCTGTGTGCGCGCGCTGGCCAGGCATCAGAATTGCATATTATACATCTTGGAGGGACAGCGACGAGGAATGACAAGCAAGGCAGTAGCACAGAGGCTCTCAGGCAGGACTCCGGCCAGCCAAGAGACACAATCGACAATACATATGTAAATACAAATATAAACGTAAAATAAGCAAATAACTAGATCAATGAATAATATATATATATATATACATACATACATGTATATATATATATATATATATCTGTGTATATATATATATATATACAAGGGAGGGGGCATATGCATGCAACGAGCCAGATTCCTCGCGGGGCAATGATTGCCGTTCTCGTTGCTTGAGCAAGCTGACGGGCCACGTGCACGACAACACACATACTTGGGAGTTCATGGGTAGTTGTAACTGTGGTTATAAGTAGGGTAACTATACTTATAACCCATATTAGGGGACTTATAACCCCACTTACAACTACCCATGAACCTCCAAGTACGCACGGCACAAAAAAGTCGCATCACCAGCTTCTGAGCCGCAGAGGAAGGGCATCGCCCGATTCCTTCGCCGTGTCATGCGCTGCTTCATGGCTGCAGCCGTGGACCCCGAACAGGCCACTTCAGGGGTTTTCCAGAGGTTCGGGGATTGGTTGCCGTAGCCAAGATGACAGACTCACCTCTTGGACTCCGTGGCCGGTAGCCGCTCAGTAGATATGGTTCACACCTTCCACGGATCTGTGTGGGTTTAGGATGTATAGTATCCAGGAGAAGTTCTTCTTTGTTCTTTCAGGCAGTGTGGATTTCGAGTCGGCCCGAGTACAGAAACTGTTAGAGTGACTTTACGAATACTTGGTCTCCGACGGAATACGAAGCCTGCCCCAATTTGCAAAGAAGACAACCCACAACCTGCATTCACATTTGCTGGTGGATAGCTCGCGGCTTTCAGATTCTGTGCAGAGATTTCTGGCACATCACATCCTCAAAACTTCGGCTGCGGCTTCAGTTTTTTTTGGAGTCTTGGAATTCCATGCTAGTGTTCAACAGGGTTGCGTATCACAGCGTGAAGCACTAAACCCAAAGCCCCAAGCTATGCTCGTTCTTGGCATGTCCCGAACGGGATGACAAAGCCCCTAATGCCCAATTAAGAGTACCCTTGCAAAAAGCACCTGAAACCATGAAGTCTCCGGAGAAGAAGCGCAGGTGGTGGACGAGTGGGCTAAGACCCTTTGGGACGAGTGCCTGGCTGCAACGGCCGGTGTGCGAGCTTTTCATGGCTTCACGAGTTTATGCCGCTGTTGTGGTTGTTGATGAGGATCTCACCACGAAGAAGAACGACTATGAATTCGTGCAAACTAGAGTAGACTACGGACTACGCTATCATGGGCGTCGATATTTGCTTCTGAGTGATTGCTTTGAGTCTCCCAGGTTGGACTACAAGCACGAGGGACGGGCCATGGAGCACATGCGCGATGCGCTCTGCGGAACCGTCGATGGACACTCCTCTGATCTGTCTTCTGAGCCGCGTATTACATACTTTGATGGTGTCTTTGAGTTGGTGAAGAAGTGTGTCAGAACAGCTCGAGCTTCAAGCTGTTTAATTCGTTCCAGTACATCATGTCATTCTCGGCTGTTGCGCGCTAGTGCCCAATCCCATACCTTCGCGATCTTTTCGTGTCAGCAAAGGATTAGTCATCCCCCGGGTCCACTGGGAGCTTACAGCCCTGCGGGTGCTGGCGAGCGAGTGCCCGGGCTCGAGAGGTCTTCGGGTTTCGGATGTCAGAGACGTTCTGGGATCCAGGTTTCGGGGTCGTTTCGGATCTGAGATGCAGGGTCCGGTGGTGTACAAGTTCAGGCTTAGCCAGTATTGCAATCTACCGGCCCTCGACCCTACCGAAAGGGATCGCGGTGGATTCCTGGAAGACTTGAGGCAGGGGGTTGGGGATTGCGCTTGAATATTGGTCTTTACCATGAATCCACATCCTAAGCCCGTTTTACGATGGGATCATAGTAGCAGATGGACTCTTCCGAGTTTGGCTTTGGTTCCGAGAACGACAGACCACGGAAAGTCGGCCAGGAGAGAGGCAGTACGGTAGTATAGCAGTCCTTTGGATGCTGCCGATGATTGCATGAAATTAACAAGACATACGACTTGAAACATCCAACAGAACAACTATCGACATATGTTTTGACTACATACTCTCTGGTCAGTCTCCGAGTATTTTCCTTACTGCACTCTTGTGCTGTCACAGAGTCTTGTGCTGTCACAGAGCAATCATGACAAGTTATGACTGACGAATCTAAGACCACCACGAGGTCATGTTGGACGGAGGAGGAAGTACCGGAAAAGCCAAAACATATTGATTAGAAACCATTATCACGGATTTCGTAGGGACTGAATGGCTTCAGCAATACTACCTGCCAGTAGCATAGCTATACTGTGCACACAGCGATGAAGAGCGAATGAGAAAGAAAGACGTAGTAAAAGGGTCAGTCTGAGTAAGCATAGTGGCATAGGGTGTAGGCATGAGCATCCGGCCTCGGTCAGGTAGTTCCGTGCTTCAGTCTCGAAGTAGGTGCTGCAAAAACACAGGATCGCTTCCTGCCCCAAACCACCTGGACATAAAGCAACCTTCAGATGCAATCTCGACTCTCGATCCCCGAGCCCGAGCCCGTCAGCAGAAGCCTGGAGCTTTCTTCGAGGTGGGTGGACGGCTTCAAAATCACCGAGGATGGGGCAGCTTCTTCTTTATCGTCTTGCTGCTGCTGCTGCTACTACCTCCTCCTGCTACTGCTACGGCTACTGCCACTACCACCACCACTGCGACTGCTGCTGCTACTGTGACTGCTACTGCTCCTCATGCTCCTACTGATGCTGCTATTGCTACCGCTACAGCTACGGCTACAGCGACTGCATTGCTGCTACTACTACTACTACTACTACTACTACTACTACTGACTAATGAATACTGCCATGATGCCGCTGTGTCTACGACCAGCACGAGCGCTGCCACTGGCTACCCTGTGCTTTGCTGCCTAGACAGGACCCTCGGCGGGTAACTCAGCGGCACATCTCAATCGGTGTGGAGGCGGTTGCAGCGATGATCCTGGAGGCCATTGAATGTGAAGTTGGGAGGTGCGAGGTACGTGCGAGTAGTGACTATGATCATGGATCTGAGTCTTGAAGATGTTCATGCTGACGAACACTGTGATTCGGGTGACGGCGGCAGCAGTGGTGTGGATGGTGATAGGGAGCAGCAGATAGTGGTCGTGCATGAAGTGTCCGTGCTGCCGGCAGTCGAAGTGATGCCTTGAATCCCGATCCTCGCCGCGATAGACCCGTTCTGCACGGTAGTGCCTCTTGGAAGCCTGACAAGCCAGATCGGAACATACAGGCCGAAGAAGAGCATGAGACCCGAAGCTCCCAAGCCCACTTCCTTGTCGCCTGCTGCAGGTGGGTGTGGTCCACGCGGATCCCCACCCGGGCAACATCATCCTGACACAGGAGGCTCCACATACTGAAGTCGAAAACATGTCCGAAATCTGTGCGCGATTCTAAGGGTCCAACAGGCCACATGTATGAAGAGCACAATCGTGGTTTTGTGATATCACTGATGCCCCCCGAACGTGAAAAGATTTCCTCATGTGGCCTTCAGCTTAGGACACCATGGACATGCAGCCCGAAGCCCTAATCCCGCCCTAGACTCAAAATCCATCCCCGAAAGCGCTCAGTTTGACAAAAGAAGTGAATCAGTCAAAGCACTCAGCGGGAGGGCCCTCTGAGGCCTTCAAGAAAATCTCAGGCCCCTACCAGCCCCCTGCAAACTTCAACAGGTGCTCTGGGTCTGCGAAGTTTTGAACTCTTCCCCCTAATACTAATACCAATACTGATACTCATACGAATACTAATGCTAAAATTAATACTGATGCTACTACCAATACTAATACTAAGCACTCCATCGAAATCCGTAGGACGACATTTGCCTTCTCGACTTTGGAATGGTCTGCCTGGTGCCTGAACACCACCGGACGGTTTGGGCTAAGTGCGTGGTGGCGCCTTGGGCAGCATGCGGGCTTCTGAATCTGAAGGTTTAGGGTTTAGGGTTTTAGGGTTTAGGGTTTAGGGTTTAGGGTTTTAGGGTTTTAGGGTTTAGGGTTTAGGCTTGGGTTCCGATTGTGGGGCTTAAGACCTCAGGGTTCTTGGTAGGGCTTGAAGTTATGGCTCGTCCTGCGGCTTAGGTAGGGTCTAGCATGGGGCTTCGGAGCTGCGACTCAGGTTGTGTTAGGGTCGGGTCAGGTTTCTGGAATCCCAGAGGCCATCGCAGGACTTTGAGTTTCGAGATTGCAGGGTGAGTATCTTCACTGCTTCGTGATCAAGGGCAATTATCTGGTGCTCGAGGTCGTGTGGCCCGGGTACTGGCAACAGCTGACGTTAGTTACAAAGCTCCTCATAGTTCTGTAAGCACCTTCTTCCATGCTGTGCCCTACTCATAGTATACCGAAGTTTCTGAAAAATGTTGCGAGGCTCGGAAAGTTGGAGGTCAGGGATCTGTTTCGAGTAGTCTTGGGGAGGAGGGTTTGAGGTTTCACTCGGGCCGTAGGACGGGATCAGGATTTGGTCCGACGAGACCACGGAGCCGTGCTGGATGACTTGATCGAGATCGGCTTCTTCCCACGTGAGTGTCCGCGGGAGGAGATGCTGCCGGTCTTGTCCCACGGCATGAAACAGCTGCTGCCAGTCTTGTCCTAGTAGGTGGAGGTACGCAGGCTACAGACTCTAGAGTGCCTTCGCTTACCTGCCCGTGCCCCCAGGTCCAAGATATGGGACCAGCTCGTGGAGTGCGGCAGCGACATCACCAAGCGGAAAAGCGCTGTGCAGCTGCTCTACTCCGAGATTCTCACGCTCGTCCGGCGCTTCGAGTTCGCCCTCCCGGACTTGGTTTCGGATTTCGTTCTGCCTCAGGGTTTTAGGGGTTTAGGGTTTAGGGGTTAAGGGTTTAGGGTCTGCTGTTCAAATTTCTATCGACCACTCTAAGGGAAACAGCCCCCGAAGTCTTCGTTGCTGGGGAGCAGAAGCTTCAGCAAAACCAGTGAATCACCCTAAACTGCCCTAAACCCTATATAAACCCTAAAGGGTTTAGGGTTTAGGGTGCCGAACCCTCGAGTCTGCAACCTCCGCTCCGAGGGTTTGGGGCTCTAGGGTTGAGGGTTGAGGGCCCCGTTTCGCAAAACCTGGTCTCAAACCCTTGGTGAAGTTTTTGACAATCCCGGAAGTATCCTATGCCCAAGGCCCTAAAACAAACACCGAAACCCTAAACCCTAAACCCTCAGACAAGCACCGAAGGACTACTACGTCGCCCTGGTGAGGGCACTGCTGACCCTGGAGGGCATGGCCCTGGCGGCCGACTGCAACTTCGACATCTTCGAGGTGAGCGTTCTCTTTTGGCTTTTGTTCCCCACCCTCGGTGTGGGGTTGTTAGACAATAAAGTCAGCTATTACTCCTCGCCCTCTGAGACTACCTCCTGGAGTGCCCAACCCCATAGACTAGCGTGAGACTCCCTGGATTGCCCAACCCCACAGACTACCGTGAGGGTGGGGATGTTCGAAGTAATTGGTTTAGACTGTTGCAGGGTTTGGCGTTCAGAAGTTTGGGGTGCTGGGCGGAGGTTTGGATCAGAACCCCGTCGGGGTGCTTATCACGGATGGTTTCCCTTACACAGCCCACCTTGCAGAGAATCCTTTCTGGAACACACATTGAAGGATAGCTTCACTGCGTTCACGGTCCGGCTTGAACAGGCGCTACCCAGACAAGATACCCCTCACAGTAGGTTCGGGCTTCAACCGGTCACGCGACCATACTGGCCTCGGCTGCATGACTACCGGCCGTGCATATTCAGCAATTACTGTGATAGCAAAAGTGATCCTGTTCGGGAGGAGAAAACAGAAGAATGTTGATAATATCATCAAGTCGTAGTGCTACGAACATTCACAATACCATATGGGTGTTTCTCTAAATTAGGGTCCCTTTTGGGGTCCCTTGTATAAGGGTGCCGTACTATAATGGGGACTTAAATGGGACCCTAATTTTGACAACTACCCATATGATACCAGCAAGTGGGGGTTTCCGAAAATAGGGGACCCTAATATAGTACCCTAAATAATAGGATCCTTATTATAAGGACCCCAAAATAAGGTACCCCTAGATTTCGGAAAGTCCCAAGTATGACCTTTGACTTTGATGCTTGAGGCGGCCTTCCCTGCGGCACTTCGATTTCTGACGCGAAGCAGAGGTCCCAAGGTTGGCGGATCGGAGGATGGGGTTTAGGGTTTAGGGTTTAGGGTTTAGGGTTTCTGCCTTTTTAGGTACAACTGCTGTCCTAGACGCAACGTGTTACATCTCAATATAGTTCGATCATCTCATATCAGGGCTGAGGAAATTTAGGGAGTGTGAGGCTTGCGTGGGCTGCAGTTTAACAGATCGGGGTTCGAATTCACTGAAGCTGAGATGCGCCGAGCAAAGTGGGCTGACACTTCAGTGTTGCAGGCTCGCTGTACCTCTTGTCGGTCATCGGCACTAAGAGCCCTCAGACCTGACAACGTCAAAAACAGGAGGTAGGAGTAGTTGGAATCAGTGGCAGTACTTGGCCGCCCGCTTCTATAAGGCTACTGTCACGTGACCCGCACAGCGGCCTTTGACTTGATCGAAGAAACTTTACCCCGTACTGAAGCGACGGCGTAAGCACAGCAATCCAGCTTCCGAGCAATCCCAAGACTCCCACCTAAGTTCCAACCGCTTCAGCCACATGCACTGATGCATCTCACTTCGTCTTTGCACATACATGACAGCACAGGCATGAATTTATGCACGACTGAATGCTTGAGAGAATGGGCATGTATGTCTGTGCATATTATACATGCATTGCTGTTCTGTGTATGTATATGTACAGTTACACTTGTGCAAATACATGTGCATTCGCAACACTCGCACACATATGCATATACATATGCATACATACCTACCTACCTACCTACCTACCTGCCTACCTACCTACCTACCTACCTACCTACCTACCTACCGACCTACATACATACATACATACATACATACATACATACATACATACACACATACATACATACATACATACATACATACATACGTACATAAATACATATAGCATACATACATACATACATACATACATACATACATACATACATACACGCACACATATGTATGTGTATACATGTATATATGGGGCATATATGCACGCATAAGTACATTCATGCCTGCATCCATGCATCTGTGTAACATACATACATGCGGTAATGCAAAAACAAGCAAGCAGCAAGCAAGCAAGCAAGCAAGCAAACAAAATCAAGTACAAACATACATGCACGCATAAAAGCATCCATACATTCAGACTAATGTGCTGACATATGTACAGACATACATACAGACATACAGGAATGCACTCATGTATACATACATACATACATACATACATACATACATACATACATACATACATACATCCTTACATCCATCCATCCATCCATCCATCCATACATACATACATACATACATACATACGTACGTACGTGTATGCATACCCGTAAACATCTGTGCGTGTGATTACATATGCACTTGCACTCCAGCATACGTACAGGAATATCCATGTGTCTACGGCATATGGTGTCCACCAGTCCACTACCCAACCTCGCGGACTCCCTGCAACCCTAAACCCTAAACCCTAAACCTTAACCGCAAAGGTGGACATTTTCAGCTCCTCAGTGCTCAGCGCTCTGCAGTGCCTTGGCCAACCTTACGATAAGGCTTAATATAGGGGCGTCATTAATTAGAATAGGGTTGGGGTATATTGCACTATGACTAATAATAAGAAACCCCCGAAAGTCTATTCCAATTATTACGGCTCCTACATTAGGGCTGTAGGGTTAGTCTTTTGGCCTTGGGCTTTGGGTTCTTCCGGCTGCAGTTCCAGAGATGCTGGGGGGCGTCGAGGAGGCTTTGACGGTCCCCGTAGCTTCTCCGAGAACTTAAGCACCTTTATCCGAGCTCCTGAAATGCGTGGGCTTGTGTCGACGGGAAAGGATGCAAGAGGTACGCAAGGACCAGAGCGTGTTTCCGAGTGAGAGGTAGATAGATAGATAAGCAGAAGACAGTAACGGAGACACCAGACCCAGATGCATATCTGTCTATCCTCCACAGCAGTCAAGAGCTCCACCCATCCGCGAAAGCAGCTCCTCAAAGTTCGGAGTTCGGCAGCTGCATAAGCCTTTTGAGGAGGGGTACCGGAATTTCCGAAATCTCACGAGGATAGTGATGACCATCATCACCATGACGGTAAAGGTACTGATGCTCATCTCGTTCTTCCTTGTTGGGTTTTGCGGATTTCTGCCATGCAAACAACGTTGCTGTGAAAATGCGACCTTCATTGTAAGTGTTATCCTGTTTCCTCAGCCTGTTTGATTCGATTTCGAGGAACAAGACTCTCGCCAAGCTCGCATTGCGTTCGGCGGGCTGTTTGCAGATGGACCGCCGAAAAATTGCGTGTCCAGGCTGCAACAAAGCCAAGCTGCGCCATGCATCTCCTCATTGCCAGCTATATAGATCTCGGCCGACGCGGATCTTGATGGGTTTGCTGAGCGATTGTGAGTGGGTCGAGGCGGTGCGCTCGGTCCCTTACTCTCAACATATCTAGTATGATATGCAGCATGACATGTAGCTGCGTAACCTCTATATAGCATGGTATGCCGTGCATTAGCATTTTGCTCCACTGCATACCGTAGTCTTGTCATCGACTGCATGCACAGTCAGTTCACATCCATCCTGCCTAGTTAAATTGCTGCAAACTATTATATATCTCAGTAGGGAGGCACGAGATTATAAACCAGACCTGTTCAACCTGTTCCAAGGCTTTTGCAGTGGTTGGGAACTTGTCATTTCATGTTCTTAACATCCCGTAGCCGTGCTGACGAAGACGCGTCGCAGCTGAGGTGCGTCGGCTTCTTTGGGATGTCACTGATCTCCCTCTACTTGGCCTCTGTGCATCGTGCGTAGGTGGCCCGAATCTCACTTGCAGGAGGATGGCAGCCCACCGGAGCTAGGAAAACTCTCCTGACAAAAGCACTTCGGGCACAGGGATTGCAAATCCGTGAGATGAGAGGCCCGTCATCCTGTTACTTTGGGATTCGAAGATCTCTCCGTTTTCCAGCAGACATGCAAGGGCCCATGCTAGGGCATCCTCGGCCCACCCATGATCTGCAAGATCGCCCATTCAGAGCTGCCCCTGATAGAGCTGTGGGGCCATTTTCGCCTATGGCGTGTGTGGAGGTTCCCTCAGTCCCTCGGACTTCGGTTGAGCCGGTTCACCCGCACGCGGCTTTCGTGAGTAATATAGGGGCCTAAATAATTACCTATACTATTTTGGGGTTCCGTATTATAACTATAGTATAATGGGCCCCACAACCCTATTCTAATTATTAAGGCCCCTACACTAGTTTGGCCTTGTGTCTGTCCGTGAAGCCCCTCTGCAACGTAGAGGGCTTCCCCACTCAAGCCGACGTCGAGTGCCCATGAAAAAGTCAGCAGTTGTGGCTGTGGTGCCGTCAAGAAAACTGCTCCTGATCCTGGACGCCCGTGCTACAATATTTGTCAGGAGTACATCTGGATTTCGATGTGCAAAGCTTGTGCGCATGCATACAGTCTAGCTAGTTGGGTTTTGCAAGTTATTGAGGTTTCAAGCTTCAAGCGCCTACGCCTCAGACGAAACAGGCTGAAGGAAGTGGTTTGTCGGGCGATGCGACATTCATGCCTCGCACGGGTCTTGCACAAGCCTCTTTGGCCCAAACCACAGAAGCACATGGAGGCAGAACACTTGTGTGAGTCCGCATCTCCTCACCTCTGAGACCTCAGCCTTTGCTCTATTTGTTGAGTTGGCCTTCTTGTGGTACCAAGGTTACAGACATCGGAGTTCATTGCGTCAATCAAAGCTCCAACCAAAGCTCTCCTGAACCCCCCAAACGGCGCAGACCTGAGCACGAGATAGGTTTGGGGTTTAGGATCCCTCTTTCGGAAGCCCCAAGCTAAGCCTAGAGAACCTGTCCTGAGCCTTTCAAAGCCCAACATTTTAAGAGCTTCAATCGATTCGTTTCAACTCGGGCCCTGACCCGACGCCCGGAGCGAGCGCCTGGGCACAATTCGTCCCTTGAGGTTCAGCTGTATGCTTGCACACGGCGTCACGGCGGTTTGGGGTTAAAGCCATGAGATAAACCCAGCTACTGGGTCGTATGAAGCTAGCTGCCCCCCTAGGCTAACGACAGAAGGCGGACCTTAGAAGTGCAGCTGTGTTGCTAAAGTAACGGGTTCTGTTCCTTCATGCCGACCCTAAAGCAAGGGCGGGGTTGGCTCGCACGAGTTCACCGAAACATCGAGATCAGACTGCCCAGGGAGCCATGCGATCCTCGTGGTGGCAGGCTCCTTCGCGAAGAGGATATGGGGCATGTGAGGATTTCGGGATTTGGCTCGATGCCGTACTTGGCATCATCGGAGCCGACTTTTGTGTCCACTGAAAGTTGTCGGATGCTTTAGTTGCACGCCACTTGGTTGAGGTCAGAGGCTTCGCGAGTCGTCACTGTCACCGCCACGACCACACGACAGCGACAACCACACCAACGACAACGGCAGCACCACTAGCAGCAGCAGTAGCAATTGCAACTACAGCCGCGACAACGAGATCATCATCGTCACCATCATCATCGGCAGTATTGCTACACCATCGACGACAAAGACTGTTATGGCTGCAACAACGAGCAGCAGCAAAAGCGACAACCAAAACTGACTCTGTTCGTGCTCCCGGTCTTGGTCTGTTTATGTTCCTGACATCATGCGTGCGACTCAACGGGGTCGATTCACAGAGCCCGTCGTCATCACACGCAGGATCGAGAAGAATCGCCCTAAACCCTAAACCCTAAACCCTAAACCCTAAACCCTAAACCCTACCCGTCCATGAACTCCTCGCTTGGAGGTTCTGCCCTTCCTGGCTGTGTCGGAAGATCCGTCGCAGATCGTCCAGCTGCCGGGGGCCTCGGAACCGCGGAAAGCCAAGGGACCTCCATTTTTTTTGCTTCTCGAGGATTGACCTGGCAAGGTCGAGAACGTGGATGGTGCTGCTGAGGATGGTGGTGGTGGTGATGGTGTTCAAGACGGTGCCGATGTTGATGACCATCGTGATGGTGGTGATGGTTCTCGTGGTGGTGGTCTTTGTGGTCAGCGTCGTCACGTGTGTGGCGATGGTGTGGACCTTGACGATCATGATCCTCTCATCCCTTACTCCATGTAGCCATCTTTGGTGTTCTTGTCATCGGTGATAACTTGCCTGTGGCCCTGCGATTCACCCGAGGCCTTGGAGTCCGGAGCCTCCGAGGCAGAAGGGAATGGGAGCGGGTCGGGGTGCAGGGTTTCGAAGATGGTTCTGGCTTAGACCAGATGTTTAGATATGCACAGGTAGGCAACAGAAGGACAGGCGGCTGACGATGGACCTGCGGTTTGCGGCTGAAAGGGCTTTGTTCGCCACTTTCCTGATCAGGTATCGGGTTCCCGTGGCGAGCAACATGACGCCGGAGACGCTGTGCATCAGCCACGCTTATCATCTCAACTTCCACAAGTGGTTTAACATTGTCGGGATGTTGATAAGGAGGTCTGAATTTTCAAAGGTGATGAACTTCGAGTCAGGGTCGAAGTCGCTCGAGGCCATTGTGTCGCATCGCGACGTTTCGTTGAGGAGGTCCAACCCCCCCCCCCCC